ATACTATGTAATGATCTCAGAACAATTTTAAAATAGTGCATGATTTGTAAAGTAATACGTGTTGATGTTTGCACCACATATCCAGCTCCATGAGTATGACTTTTTTTTCTTGGTAAATTTGCTTGGTAATTCACTTTGTGCAGCATTGTACTTGCGATGCGAGTCCCATAAAGTATGAGTCACGATAAAATAGATGACTTCAGTAAAAGCATTTTTATCTCACGTTTGCTTTTGTTAACACTATCTTTTAGGTTTAGAGTAGAGTTTAGTGAAGGTGGTACGTTTTTCATGGTACGTGGTAGCATTTCACTTTCAAAGTGCAACATTTTACAGAAATGTCACCAAAGTCAAGTCAAGTCAAGTCACCTTTATTTATATAGCGCTTTTAACAATACAGATTGTGTCAAAGCAACTGAACAGCATTAATTAGGAAAATAGTGTGTCAATAATGCAAAATGACAATAGTAAACACTAATTTTCCAGTTAAAGACAGTTCATCATTGAATTCAGTGATGTCTTCATTCAGCTATTTTACCAAAGGCATTGGTAGCTGTCTGTGTGCATCACTGAGCTCTGAAACCTTTGTGAATACTGTCTTTGTAGTTAAAGTAGTTCCTTTAAAAACAGTTAATTCCATTTTAATGCATTCATTTGCCCTTGTATGGAAATAAAATAATAAACCTTATTGTTTTGATGCTGCAACAATCCTCCTGTTGCCTTTTCAGAAACATCAGTGAAGTATTTTGCTTGTATGTTGTCACAGATCTGCACAAACACCTGCAAATACTTTATGAAAAGTAGCAAAATAAAATACAGTATTTTGTATCCTGAAAATACACAAAATACATATAAAATTGGCCATTAAGTGAAGTATCACTATTAGGGCAAAATCTGTCTGCATGAGCCAAAATCTGTCAAAACCAATTTGTACTCAATAGATCTGTACTTGTGTTGTTGTAGTTTGGTTAAGATGTTGATAATAACATTCATAATAAATATGAACAAAACAATATGCAGTATTTCACATTAAAATGTATGGCACAAACTGACACAAAGTATAGAGTGTAAAATACAAAGGACAAAATTGGATTTGTATTTTTAAGCTTTGATTTCTGAATACATTTCTGCCATTCAAGCACTGTAAATGAATGTACATTATTTAAATGTCCCATTTGGAGTGGATTATAAAATAACAGCTGTTCATAAAATCTGTCTCCATCATTTACTGATAAATGAAAGCTCATTACAGTAGCAGCTTATTACAGATAAATACCCATGCTCTGATTATGTGAACTTTTGCACACCAGTTACTAAAATAAATCTATTTAAAATAAAAGCTTATTTTAAATAGAATATCATTAGGTCACTTTAATTTAGCTAATAAGGATGGTTAATGGTAGAATAATAAAATTTAGGTGACATTTATGGAGAAACAAAAAAAAAATATGGACAAATTCAGGCAGCTTCCCCACCCCACCCCAATATTGTTCTCATTCACTGGTAAAGCAAATTAAAATCAAACATTAAACTAAATGTGATGTTGGGTTGTTCAAATAGGCAAATTTTAATTAATAATTCCAAATATGTGCACAAGTTGTACGTGCTGGCTATTGTCGCATTGTGACAAAGGATCACAGGGCTTGTTTTACATTAGATTAATATTCTCTCTCTATCTCTCTTTTTTTTTTTATTAGACTAAAACATGAAAGTCCTCCTCCAGATTCTACTATCAAATGGATTTTTAATATTTGCTTGACATTTGAGCAGAAGGTCAAGCTCATCATGTCAGCATGTAATGAACAGAAATGGAAGGAGATGGAGAGAATAGTAGTGGCCAAAAGATTTTTTTTTTTCTTTAGTCTTTAAACAAGACCTTATGACTGAGACATAGATGGATTAGTTTGCATAAAGACACAAAAAAGACACATGAAAATAATACAAATGTTATTTATTTATTTATTTTTTTGTAAATGAGACTGATTGACAGTGTGTACTAGTTTGTATATATAGTATAATCAGGGCTCTAAATTATACAAATTAGGAAAATTCTGTAGTGAATATACATTTTTCCAGTTTTGCTTCGCTCTAAAGCAGGGGTATTCAATGTTTTTAATGCCATGAGGCCAAGAACCAAGAACTATAACCAAGATATACAGGCAAGGTGGCTGTTACATATTGTATAAAATTACACTTTAGCCTGACCTATGAATTACAAGAGTATAATTTATATGCACTCTAATGCCTCGTTCACACATATTCCCGCTTATTTAAATTGCTCATGTCTGCAGTGCATTATGGCTCAGACGAGGTTTTGTTCTGTCCTCCTCGTATTATTTACCTTTCATAATATAAAGTTCCAAATATTTAATGCATTTGCTTGATTGATGCAAAATTTATATTCTTTAATTTGAAAAATGGTTTATAAGATTTTGTATATGTTCCTTATTGTACAGCTCACATTTCATTTTTGTCATGTTGCACACATTGCACTTTCATGATTTTGCATATTATGATGCATATCATGATTTTGCCTGATACCATGCATTTTTTCTTAAGTTCATTATGCTTCCAGACAACACTAAGCCATGCTAAAGACAATGAACGTACTTTGTTAATAAACACTCTCTACCTTGCTGTCATTTTGTTTCTTAGCTGAAGATGATATTTGACAGGCTGCCTGTTCCATAGCGACTTTAATTGAAAGTAATATATTCTGTGCTGTCATACATGCTAAATACACAAAGAAAGAATGTGATAAAGACAAGACAGCTGTATGTATTTTAAACTCAGCCTGTAGTAAGGCAGTGCAATATTGATAGCCTTCAAATAATTTAATAACAGTTTGTCCTCCTAACCCCTTAACACAAAATGGTCTGGCTACAGTATTTATCTAAAGTTAGATTTATCAGGGGTGTGTTTCCCAAAAGCAACTATGGTCGAAAGTTCCGTCATTACCAATAGAGTTCAATAGAACTTACGACCATAGTTAGCTAACGATGCTTTTGGGAAACGCACCCCTGATCAGTATAAAGCATTGATAAATGTTGTATCACACTAAATGCAGTCATGCGATTCCCCAGAATTTTTTTATTTTTTATTTTTTTTTAACATTAAAGATTTTAATAATAAAATAACCAAACACAAAATAGCGCGACAGCCCCTCGCGGACGACTGTCGCGCACAAACAAAACCAAAACACAAAATAAACTCCAGGCCTGGTCCTCTCTCGTCTTTCACTGTTGTCACTCCTACTTTTATCCTTCCGGTAGTTAGCTAACGATGCTTTTGGGAAACGCACCCCTGATCAGTATAAAGCATTGATAAATGTTGTATCACACTAAATGCAGTCATGCGATTCTGTAAAATATAGTTTTGTGACGAGAGGGGTGGGGCCGAGAGCCGTGGGAACGGAGCGAGGCCGGTGGAGTAATTGCTAATGCGCGACACCTGCGCCACTCACCGGTCTCGAGTCTCACGGAGGAGCTCCGGAAGGATAAAAGTAGGAGGGACAA